CTCCCGCCTCCTCAGCAGCGCTAAGGATGTCTGACTGCAGCTTAGGTCTGCTCCCTGCTGGCAAGTGGACATCCCCCGAGGGCTGCTGGGCTGCCAGAGGAATGTCTGATTGCCATCCTGGCCCAATCCCCCGGGAGCAGGCCTAAGGCAGCAAGTGGTCACCCCCGAGGGGTCCCAGACTGCGAGGGCACAGGCCGAGCTGAGGGACCCCCTACCCCCAAGTGCACAAATTTTTGTGCACCGGGCCTCTAGTTGATTATAAAAGCAGTGCTGCTTTCAAATGCTGAAATACCATGTAGCCATTTAAATGATCGTGGAGAAGTGCATTCATGGTATAGAAAAAATGTTCATGAGACTTTGCTGAGTTTTTAAAAGGCATATTAAACAAACAATATGCATTGTATTTTGTCATTTAAAGAAATATTTACAGGGTCATAGAAACAAGACTAGAATGTGGTTTACCAAAATTTGATAGTATTTCTCTGGTATAATTATGATATTTTTAACTTTCTTCAATTTATCTATATCTTATGGATCTTTTTACTTTTACAGTAAACATGTAATATATAATATATATATATATATATTTACAAAATGTATATATTTATAATATATATATATATTTACAAAACCAGGGCACAGATTGTAGCCTTTTAAAAAGCATTTTATTTTTTTAAAAAAAGAAGAAGAAGAAGAAGAAGAAGAAGAAGAAGAAGAAGAAGAAGAAGAAGAAGATTCCCAATAGGAATGGCTGCTGGTCAGCCGACTTCAGAAAGCAAGGAAGACAGCTAAGTAGCCCATTGGTGGCAGAATGTGGCCTCAGGAAGAGTAACAGCAAGGAACTGGATCCTTGGAGGGAGGTTGGGGATTCATTATTCTGAAAATGGATAAATAAGAGAATTAAACATTTAAATTTGCACTTCTATTGGTTGAGGGGTAATTTTTTGTACAGTATTCCAGCTCATAAATGAAGAAGGAATGATAGAATTAGAATATCACTACTTTGCAAACCCTTAATAAAATAGTAATAGATTTAGGTAATGACCATCAGTGGCCACTAACATTACAAAACAGAAAGGCACCTCAACATAATGTACTCGCAGATGGAGTGCCCAGCTCCACCTATGAAGTGTTCTTGCCAGAAATCTAAGCTGTATCAGCTCAGATCTCGACCTAACTACCAGTTCTCAGAAAATACAGGGAACAGAAGAATATGCTAAACTGCCATCGGCCAAAATATCAGCCAAACGCAGAAAGGGGAAATTATGCAGGATGGGATTGGAAAGGGACACAGAGCCCAGAAGATCTAGGACATGGATTGGTTAGGGGAGGACCCAGTGCAGCCCCTACGGGCCTGGGAAAGTGATGGGCTAGTTTCCAGAAGCATCTCGCCCTGCCTGGCCACGTGGCTCAGGTGGAGCATCGACCTATGAACCAGGAGGTCACTGTTGGATTCGGGTCAGGGCACGTGCCTAGCTCCAGGCTGCATCCCCAGGAGGGGACAAGCAGAAGGCAGCTGATCCATGATTCTCTCTCATCATTGATGTTTCTCTCTCCCTCTCCCTTCCTCTCTGAATTCAATAAAAATATGTGTTTTTTAAAAAGTGCCTAGTCCTTCCCAAGCTTAAAGCAGCCACCTGGGGCCCACAGCAGACCACATGGGCTCCAAACGGTGCCTAAGCACAGCGCCAGCCAAAGCGCCAGCAAAATAGAAGCTAAGCCAGCAGATGGGGACAGGGACTGGACTGGACTGAGCCTATGGCACAGAACTTCTGGACACAGGCCCTACTTCTGGGCCTGATGACGAGGAGGCTGGACTTCTTCTAGAGCAGGACAGACAGCTGAGACCTGGGGACATTTATTTCAATCCCAATGAATCTTACCACTAACCATATCCTCCCATTGTTCTACCTGCTATACAAAATGTTCTCTCACGCCCCACAGCAAAACCTTCTCCTCTGCCTGCCCTAATAAACACCACCTTCCACCTCCTCTCCAACCTGAACCCCTCCTTCTCGACCTCGTGCTGGATATGCCTGTCCCTAACCCGAACTCTGGTTTCCGCAACCCCCCTCCCTAACACACTCATAAACAACCTTACTTTCGCCCCAGGCAGACTTCAACGCACACTCTACAATGTATCCCTCTTTGGCACCGAAGACATGACTTGCCTAGTCAACCATACCCAAAAATTGACAACCATACCGTGCACCTCTAATACCTCGCTTCCCCCTGCGAATTTTTGCCCTCCCCCGGGGATCTTCATCCTCTGCGGTACGACAGCCTATACATGTGTCCCCGAGAACCTTGAACAAGCCCCCTGTCTCTATGTCTTCCTGACACCTAATCTCTCTGTTAGAACTGAAGGCGAGCTAGAATCATCTCTCACCCCGGCCTTCCCTCATTCCAGGCGGGAGAGAGCAGCTCTTGTTCCCCTTCTTGTGGGGACAGGGGTCCTAACAGCCGTGGGAACCGGGGTCGGAGGGATTTCTTCCTCAGTACACTTCTATCACAAGCTCTCCACAGAATTCTCTGAAGATATGGCCCTCATAAGTGACTCCATTGAATCCTTACAAAGGCAGATAGACTCGCTGGCAGCTGTGGCTCTGCAGAACCGCAGGGCCCTTGATCTCCTCACCGCTGAGAAGGGAGGTACATGTATTTTCCTCGGGGAAGAATGCTGTTATTTTGTCAATGAATCAGGAATAATAAAAGACCATATAAAAACACTAAGGGACAGAATAAATCAGAGGCAGAGGGAGGCAACTGGGGGGATGGCATTTTTCGACTCCCTAGCTCCCTGGCTCCTCCCTCTCCTAGGGCCACTAACATCCCTACTCCTAATCCTCCTCTTTGGCCCATGTCTCATAAAATGTCTTACTAGCTTCCTCCAAAACAGAATACAAGCCCTCACGAATGCGAAGGTTGGAGAACTGTACCTAGCCCTCAACCCGGAGACTCTCTCAACCGGCCCTTATGCTGAAACACCCATGATGGCAAGTAAATAACCCCAGACTACACATACCTGCAGAAATGCTGTTTAACCTGTTTTTTATTTTCTTCTTTTCCCCCCAACACGGCATCTGCCTAGCGGAGCGGAACATCCGGAGCCTCTCTATTCCCCCACGACGCCCCTACCCAGCCGGAAGTAGTCAGATGATCACGTCGCCCACTTATCCCATCATAGAGAGTCCGGAATGTCCGGTATTCGCTGGCACCCTGCCCCGGGGGCGAAAAGACCCCCTCCCTCTCTTGGGCCGGTGAGAAACTGACCTCACCACACTGACGTCCAGAAACCACCCCACCCCGGTGGAAAGTCCCTGCCGGACAAATGGCTCCTGGAAATGGCCAAACCGCAGGACTGACCGCAGGTTTCACCTGACCCTGGAATGCTCCCCTGCCACCAGTTTCTGCCAGCAACAATTACCCCAGAAAAGCATAAAAACTTGCCCCTGCTCCAGTTTGGCGCGGCTTCTCCTGCTCCCCTCTCCGAGCTGGTGAACCCGCCCGTGTGCTCCCAATAAAGCCTGTTTAATCTGGTCTCTGTTTGGACTCACAGTTTTTCCTTGCGGCGGCGTAAAACCTAAGACCCATGTGTGGGTCCCAGAAATGCTTTTCTTGTAACTCTGTGAAAAGACCCCATTTCCATCAGCAACAGAGTTATGGACAAATTTTTTGTGTGATTATGCTTTTGCTTTTTAAAAATTGTGATAATATCGTGATTATGTTTTTTTTTAACATTAAAATGTTTACAGATAAGATATGATGTTGTATAGGCAGAGAAATAGTTTTCTTTTCTAAATTCTTCTGGCTGGACTAGTAATCAAATTAACATGAGACAGATTAACAGGATAAAATAAAATTTAATTTCATAAGTATGCAGGCTCCATAAGAATGAGACCCATAGGCAGTTGGGCAATCAGACTTAGGTGATTTTCTGAGCTAAGGAGAAAGGGGTAAGGGAACTTTAAAGGGAAGGAAAACAATTGATAGAAAGATGAAAAATAAATATATGTTTGTTGTACCATGCAAAGACAATGGGACATGGAGAGGACCTTGCTAAGTTTATGAACAAACAGGCTAAGTTCACCCCAGTTTACCACATCTGGCGATCGAGCCCGAAACCCGGGCATGTGCCCTTGACTGAAATCAAACCTTTCAGTCTGCAGGCTGATGCTCTATCCACTGAGCTAAAATGGCCAAGGCACCAAATATACTATTGAAAGGAGTTTTTTTGGGTAAAATAGGAGTTTTTAGGGCTGAAATAGGCAAGTTTAGGAAATTTTAAAAACTAAGGGGTCCATAAAAAACACACAAGGCCACAGAGTTGCAAAAGGATACATTTCCATAAGACAAGGGAGCAGCAGAAGTTACATTTCCATAAGAGAAGGGAACTGGGAGTAGCAAAAGGTTCACATTTACAGAATAAAGGGAAGGAGGAAGAAAGCCCAGAGGGAATAGGAGAACAATGAGGGAGGAGAGCCTCAGGTGTCCCACATGAGGTTCCCATGTGAGGTTCAACCTTTGCGCTCAGGAGTTGCTATAGTGACCAAATCAGAAGGGGATGGTGACCAATCAGAGGGGATATCAAGGCACAAAGACCTGCAGCCTTTATAAACTGTAGGGGAAAGGGACTCAGTGCAACTCTTTCCTCCTCCCCACATGGGAGTCTGTACTTGTTCTTCAATAAATTCACACCTTTGCTATACCATCTTCCATCCGTGGTTTCATTCTTCGACTCCAATGGACAAAGAACTGGGGAAAAGCCATCCTGCCCAGGGAACAGCGCGCGATCCAGTCCAAATTCCCATTTCATTGTGTATGTACATATGAGACCCAGGACACATTGGGCAGTTGAGATTGACATGCCATTCTGGACAACGGAGAGGGAGGCAGGGGTCTGGCATTCCAAAGGGACAGTAGGTAATTCACAGGAAGATGAGAAGGAAGCACATTCTTGCCAGGCCCCCCAGAAACAACAGGACACAGAGGGGGTTCTCATAAGACTTACTTGGGCCCTCCCTGTCTGCCACGCTTAATTCTTACGTGGTAAGGTGAGTATGCTAAGGCTCTCTTCCTGAAGCAGGTCTTTCTACCTGAATTCCTTTAGGGAGGCG